GGTCCCGGAAAAATTGAAGACAGCTTTGACAAGGATAGAGGTGAAAGGAAAAAAAACCCAAGGTCTTTTCGACCACTCCTTGCCCCCAAAAATTTCTTTGAGTGAGTGAGTGAGTCAGTCAGTCAGTCGGATTGGGGCTATAATGATTCTTGATGATGATTGCCCAATTGCCGGTGGCGGGGTCCCGATTACGGCACAGTTTCGGAAATTCTCGACCAGACCTACCGATGGGGCGAATAAAAAATTTTTTGTCATTCGGTCCCCTTTTAGAAGATTGAGTAGGTTTGCTCGGAAACAGTGAAAAATTTTTAACTTTTGAGATTTTCTCAATTTTCCCATTAAATTTGGGAAACGAATGGAAAAACCCGCAGGTCTCTACGACCACTCCTTGACCGCAAACATTTCTTGGGGAGTGAGTAAGTCAGTCAGTGGTCAGTCAGTCAGTCGGATTGGGGCTATATAGGTTCTTGATTGGGTGAGTGAGGGAGTCAGTCGGATTTTGGGGGTTTACGGTTTTTGATGACAAATTTATGATTGATTTTTAGTATGTTGCCGGTGACGGGGACCCGATTGCGGCACAGTTTCTGAAATGTCCCGACTAGATCTACCGATAGAGTGAATAAAAATTTTTAGTCGGTCGGTCCCCCTTTTTTTAAGATTGAGTGGATTTTTTTTAAAATTTTGGCCTATTTAATCGTTTTTGAGGATGTTGCCGGTGACGGGAACCGATTGCGGCACAGTTTCGAAAATGTCTCGACCAGACCCACCGATGGGGCGAATAAAAAATTTTTTGTCGGTCGGTCCCCTTTTTTGAAGATTGAGTGGATTTTGTTGAATTTAGGCCTATTTAATCGTTTTGAGGATGTTGCCGGTACGGGGACCCGATTGCGGCACAGTTTCGGAAATGTCTCGACCAGACCTACCCATAGGGCGAATAAAAATTTTCAGTCGGTCGGTCCCCTTTTTTTAAGATTGAGTGGATTTGGTTGAATTTAGGGCCCATTTTATCGTTTTGAGGATGTTGCCGGTGACGGGGACCCGATTGCGGCACAGTTTCGGAAATGTCTCGACCAGACCTACCGATGGGGGGAATAAAAAATTTTTAGTCGGTCGGTCCCCTTTTTTGAAGATTGAGTGGATTTTGTTGAATTTAGGCCTATTTTATATATTTTTATATCGTGTTTAGGATTTTGCCGGTGACTGGGACCCGATTGCAGCACAGTTTTGGAAATGTCTCGACCAGACTTACCGATAGGGCGAATAAAAATTTCTAGTCGGTCGGTCCCCTTTTTTTAAGATTGAGTGGATTTTGTTGAATTTAGGCCTAATTTTAAACGTTTTTGAGGATGTTGCCGGTGACGGGGACCCGATTGCGGCACAGTTTCGGGAAAAGTCCCGACAGACCCACCCATAGGGTAAAAAATTTTTTGTCGGTCGGTCCCCTTTTTTGAAGATTGAATGGATTTTTTTAAATTTTGGCCTATTTAAACGTTTTTGAGGATGTTGCCGGGGGGGAACCCGATTGCGGCACAGTTTCGGAAAAAATCTCGACCAGACCTACCGATGGGGCGAATAAAAATTTTTTGTCGGTCGGTCCCCTTTTTTTAAGATTGAGTAGGTTTGGAAACGGTTTTAGGGGTTTGGGGCCCCCTTTTTTGAAGATAAAGTAGGGGTTTTTCAAACGGTGGGTTTTTTTAAATTTTGGGGATTTTTAATTTCCCCCCTTTTTTTTTGGGGGTTTTGAAGGGGAAAAACCGGGAAGTTTCGGGAAATTTTCCCAACCCCAAGGGGAAAAAAAATTTTAATTTGGTGGGCCCTTTTTTGAAGAATTTGGTGGAAATTTTGTTTAATTTAGGTATTTTATAATTTTTAAAATTTTGGTGTTTAGGGTTTTCCGGGGTTGGGAAATTTCAAGAATTTTGGAAAATTTCACCCGCAAAACCATGGGGAATTTTAAAAAATTTTTAATTTCTCCCCAAAATTGAGGGAAATTTTGTTTTTAGGATTTTCGTTTTTGGGGGGCCTGCGGGGACCCCCATTCCCCCTTTTGGTGCTCCGGCCCCCGTGGGGGAATAAAATTTTTTGGGGGGGGCCCCTTTTGGGGGAAAAGAAGGGGGAAAGGCCTTTTAATCGGTTTTTTGGGGGGTTGGGCCCGGGGAGCCGTTTCGGGAAATTTTTGGGAAATGTCTTTGCCCCTCCCCCGGAGGCCCCCAAAAAAAGGGGGGGCGGCCCCCTCAAAAGAGGGTTTCCCGGCGGGTTGGAAATTTGGTTTTTCCCCCTTTTTTTTAAGAAAATGGTTTTTTTTGGGGCCCGGGGGTTTCCCCCCGGGG